CTGACTTTCGTACACATTTCCTCCTACTTCCGGGAGCAACTCATAACATTGTAGTGTGAGTAGATAAAGTGCTTGTAGTGGTTTGAGCAGGGTGTTTGCTTTTACACTGGGTACCAGAAACCAGGGTTTGAGTAGCTGTAGTGCGTGTCACAGGGGTTGAGATAGCAAGCACAATAACACGAGAAATTAATCGGTACACTCTTCTAAACGGTCGATTAACCCTAAATATATAGATAAGAAAACATATTCAGGAGGCCTTGCAACAAAATTGAACTGTTTAGATGATTCCAGTGCTGTTCAGTATTCTCAGAATTGGCGTAAGCTTTGGTAAATGGCCTGGGGGGGAAGGGAACACAAGGAAGCTGTTCCCTTTACGAATTGGATCTCCAAAGGAAAAGCCACTGGTGTAATTGGCAACGACACCCGCCAGGTAGCGCTTAAGATTAATAAACGAGGTCCCCATCACCACCCGGCCCTGCACCGCCGGATACAGGTACTGAACTGGTTCCAGCACCCACGATTTTATCAGCATTCCACAGCACGAAACAGCAAAACTCTTAATTAGCCAAAAAATGCCTTTCATCCCGGTCCAACGCCCAACCGCGAAAGAATTCCAATAAACAGCATATACGGCAGATAAGGGGCTAAATTATAGAACTTACATTATTTTAACGCATTCTGGTCAAATCTGTTGTTGTCTCAACCCTTCAGGCCCCGCGTTGGGCACCACAAAGGACTGTGGTGGTTTAGGCGGCTCTGGCAACTCAACTCCACACAGCCACTCACTCACCCTCCGGGAACGAGGAAGGGAATTAAAGGAGAAAAGGAAAAGAGACCCGAGGGTTGAGATAAGAACAATTTACTACTACTACTGTATGAATATATACATGTACAAGGATAAATATATACAAAAGAGTGATGTACGGTGTCATTGTTCTCCACCCCTTGACCAAGGCCTGTCTCGTCCTGAGTTAACGATCCCGAAACAGGTAAGTCCCTCTGAAGGATACACAAATAAATTATCAGTGTTTCTGAAAACAGGCAACCAGTTAGACCCAGGAACGTTGTTGCAAGGCCTTTCAACTTTGCGTCCAGAGAAAAGTACCAAACTTGTCTTACTGGGTGATGGTTCCGTTCTGCATCTTAAAAAGCGTGTGTAAGTGTAGCGCAGTGATCGAGATGGACCTCATGCAGTTGTTGCCCCTTTCGGGAGAAAGTATTGTGCAACAAGCAGGAGGGATTCACGCCATCAGATCGGCAAGAAAAAAGCCAGGAAAAGTGCAAACCCAGTAATGAAGCTCGGTGACCAAACAGCTGTGTGTGCCAGCCGGCTCGTACGTGGGCTTTTTTGGCTGTTCACGGTGTTCATGACTTCACGTTGACCGTAGCCAAGAGTTTGGATTAATTCTGTAGGATGGTACTAAAGGAAGCTGTGGAGGTGCTGTCGTGTCTTTTGTGGTGGTTTTTTCTGAAACTGTATAATAATAATGGGGAAAAAATGCTCAAGATTTATATGCATCACTAATTCTGGAATGTTCCTAGCTACTGCAGTTGGGCGGTGTTCGGTATATCTAAACAAATGTCACAGGAGCTCAGGGAAAGTGTATTTGTCAGTAATTTCCATTTTCTGCCTGGTTTTATCGTGGTTTGTATTGGCTTGTAGTTAAACCTCGAAGTCAGAAGCTGTTCTGTCTTGACCCGTTGGAGTAGGAATGTCTGGATGATGCTAGGATTTTTGCTATTAAATTGATTGCTGTCCAACTTTTGGATTGCAGTGTGGGGTTTAATGGCGAATAAGAAATAAGGTGTTTTGTGTTTGGTTGCTTGTTGGGTTTTTTGGAGGGGTGGGAGTGGTGTACATCTGTTTGGTTTTGTTTCCTTTTTAATAAACGGTGGTGGTAGAGAACCCAGTGAACATTTCCATTCTGGAAAAAGCTCTGTGAGATGTGGGCCAAAAATATTTTTTTTTTTCCCCCCAATTAATTCTTCCTCAGCCCATTTCATAACTTCAGTATGTTTTCTCTGGGTAATTGGGTAATCTGGGCCTGGTTTTGGTATAACTTGAAGCAACAAGAAGAATGGTTTTTAGAATTTGATTTGTACTTGGCTCATAATACGATAGTATTTCTTTTTGCTAGAATAGAGCATGTGATGTCTTAATAGGTGGGAAGTAGCTTAAGGTGTGGGTTTTTTTCCTTCAATGATTTTTCTGGACATTGTCCTTGTGAGGAAGCTGGACAATTTAGGAAACGGTATGAAACGATGCACAAACTCGACCTGCCATCTCGTCTTAAGTTGACCTTGAACTGTTGGAATAAGACATGATAATGGACAGTAGTTGTGAGGAAGGTGAAGGAGTTTCCCATACAAATAATATCTCTCTCTAGCTTGGAGACCAAGTGGATTAGATTTTAGGCTAATTGATCTCTGCAAGGAAGAAAACATCCTTTTGTGCTAGTTTACTAGTTTGATTCTCAAAGTAGTACTTTTAAGTACACTATAATGTCAGAGGCTTTCCTTTAGTAAACTATTGTAGCTTCTTTAGCATATTGTCATCTCTAAGTCTTCATTGAAACTCTGAGAGAACAAACTTTTTGTTCTGGAAGAGTGATGGTTTTAATGCAGAGGGGAGGAGAGTTCTTAATTTTAAAATATGCTGGCTAATTGTGGTGATAAGAATGGTTATCTTCCTTTATCAGCAAACGCCGTTTCGGCAAAATTACCCAGACTTAATATCACTTAATATCAAAATGTGTGTGAACACATTTTGCTTTCGGGAATCTGGTGTTCAAGTCTAAACCTTTCCTGGTGGAGAGCACTGAAACCAAAAGGAGAACGTTTTTGGGGTAGGTCATAAACTTCACGAGCACTGTCACTGTGTATTTCACTCCAGTGGGTTCAGCTGAAGAATTGTTAGTGAATCTTCAGTCTCTTTTGATAGAGAAAACAACATGTAAGAAAAGCATCATGTTCTCTAAGGCTGTGGGATTTCTCTTGTTCCATGCAAGGGTTCTTTCTAAGGTTTTGGTTTTTTTTTAAAGAAGGTTTGGCTGAAGGGCAAATAGATGACTGGTTCAGTGCCTGTAGATGTGGATTAGAATGGAGGGCATTTGTTTACTGTTGCCCCGAGCTCTTCGGGATGCTCGTTGGGGAAATGTGAAGATTGAAAAAGCTAGAAAGCCTATTGCAAACTTAGCTACATTTTTCTAAATTCTCAAATAATTTAATTTAAATCAAATTATCACTGGCATGACCTTCTGGCTCACTATAACCCGTTGCACACAGAGGGATGCTCACGTTTGCACGGTTTGGGCAGAAGCCTGCTGCAGACAGAGCCTGCATTAAGTAGGACTGTGTATTTGTTTGACTGCTGGAAGCTTTGTTTCTTTTGGTTGCTCAGTATACCCTATGTTGCTTGTAAATGTCACATAAATACCGCACTGTTTTTTGGTTTTTTTTGACCACAAACTATTAGATTTATGAACTTCGCTTCTCTTGAAGATGATTTAATCTTAAATGGTCTTTACCTGCTTCTGCTGTTCCACTGGGGTTTGGTGCAGAGGTGAAAACATCTCACCCTCTCTAGTAAGCATCTTGCAGAATTTTGATTGAAGAGGGGTTTGTGAAAGGGAGGGAGAGTGCAAGAGAAGTGATGTTAGTGTTCTGTGGATTAAGCCTGGATTCGTAGCCTGTGTTTCATCTAAGACATTCTTAGGGTGCTGTTGAAGCTAGCCTAGGGTCTTCAGAAATGCCTAGCAAACAGGAATCTAGGCTTTTTTTCGTTACGTTCATGTTTGAGTATGTGTGGGCCTCAGAAAATCGGAGAGGAACTTGAAATTTTTAGAGCTGTAGCTGGCTTTGGCTTGAGGAACATGAACTGCTCTGATGGGATCCATTAGTAGAATGCTATAAGGGAATTTGTTTGCCTTGACGTGATCGTTCCACACATGATAATGTTGCTTTTACAGCTTGAGGAAAGATAGTGCTGCTCTTAGAAATCAATTTCTGGGTGTTGTGGTTTAGCTGCAGGTGGCAACGAAGCACCAGGCAGCTGCTTGCTCACTTTGAGGGGGTGGAGAGGAGCAAAATGTCACAAGCTTGAGAGTGGAGAGAGGAACAGGGAGGGAGCACCCACCGACCATGTCCCTGGGTGAAACAGTCTTGGCTTGGGGACTAATTGGTGTAATTTGCTACCCGTCACCTCAGAGAGGATAAGGAGAAACAAAGCCAGGTCTTAAAACCACCTTCTCCCTGGCTCTGCCTCCTCCCCGGTGGCACAGGGGTTGGGGAATGGGGGGCTGCAGGTCAGTTCATCGCTCGCTGTTTCTGCTGCTTCTTCCTCCTCAGGAGAAGGGCTCCTTACACTCCTCCCCTGCTCCAGCGTGAGGTCCCTTCTTACAGGAGACAGCTCACCACGAACGACTCCGACATGACTCCTTCCTGCAAAATTCATTCCTTACCCGTCAGGCAGTTCCAGTACGTGCTTTTCCCACAGAGTCAGGGCTCCTTAGGGTGCAGCCACCCGCTCTGGCTTGGGGTCCCTTCCCATGGACTGCAGGTGCATCTCTGCCCCACTGTTAATCTCCAGCAGCGTGGGATCCTTTCCCATGGGAGACAGTCTTCTACAACCTCCTTCAGGCTCAGGCATCTCTGCTCCAGCACGGGGTTCTCATTGTAAACTTGGCTAGAAGCAATAAAATTAAAGTGTGAATGTTTTCACACCTGTATTTTTTTCAGTAACTATGAAGTGTTCAGAATTCCTACTATATTGCAAGGCAGTCATATGAACAGGAGATAAAATAAATCAAAGAGATGTCAGAGTAGTATTTTATTTGAGAGCTTGGAGACCTCTATCTGAATGCTGTATGGACTTTACATTCATCTTCTGTTTGTGTGGTTTTTCCTTTTTTTTTTTTTTTTCTTGCTCTATATCGAGACTATTTTTGTATTCAGAACAGACTGCAAAAGCAGATTATTCCTTGTGTTCTTTATTCTTTTAGAGTCTTCAAAGTTTTGACCCAGGTGAAAAACACTTTTGCAACACTTCATGGAGTGATGTCTCTCCTTGGGAGTCTGTGGGCAAAAGAAAGGTATGTATGTGTGTGTTAGAAGTTCTGGGTAGAGGTGCATGTGGACTCACTGAATTTTATCACTTTCAGAAGTCCTGGAAAAGTTAAAATACACTTTTTTATGATGAAAAAAAAAAGACTTGAACATCTGTTTTCCAAGTACTATTAGTCAGGGAGTAATCTTTCATTTCTTCTGTGTTCTTCCCTGTAGTGCAGCTGGTTATAAGGACTGTAGATGCCATTTGCTGTCTTTAAGGATACAAACTTGAACGCCAGCGTTTAGGATGTCACACTAATGTTCTGCCTTTTTAGCCTCATCTGATGTGTAGTCTTAACATGCTCTTGTATACGTCATGCTTCTTGTTTCCCTGGAAGGGTGAAAATGTGATTGCATAGATATGGGTGGATTAAGCTGAAATTATCAGCAGCAGCTTGGGATGGGGTTGCAGTGGAGAACATATTCCAGTTAGATTTGTGTATGTGAAACAGCTTTTAGTTCTATATAGCTGGAATCTTGTGTGAAGCTAGAATCTACAGGAAAGGCAGGATTGAGATGAGTAGACCAAGGGATTTCTAGAACTTTATGTTCTAGCAAGTTTCTAAGATACTGTGTAGAGCATAGCAGTATACCCAGAAGAAAAGGTAGTCTTTTCTCAGTCTTGCTGAAGAGTCTCCTCACTGCTTCCATGAGGAAGGCCTGTCAACAGCAGTGGGTCTGCTCTTTTCATCCTGGATCAAAAGGTAATGGTTTAGAAGAGTTTATCTCTGCCTCTACTGTCTTTAAAACAAACTGAGGCTGAGTGCAATAGTTGTGGTTTTTTAACAAAGCCCTTAACGGACAGTCCAACCAAAGACACTCGGTCTTTGCCAAACTGTCATTTAGTAGAAAATGAGCCCCTCCCACCCTTCAGGACCTTTGTCTCTTAGTTTGCCTTTCCTGAACTTTGGTTCACCTCCATGAACTGGAGGTTCATCCGTTCACATGAATTAGTGGATGAGAGAGTGCATTGTGACTCAAGTGTTTGCTGGTCTAGGTCTGCAGAGCCAGGTGGCATCTCGCCTCTTCAGATCAGGTATGTGGTTACCATCAGTCAGGAGACTACCTTTAGGTGAATGGAATAAATCCCATTAATGGGTCTGATGGCCTCTTTCTTCTCTACCCTCCTTTTTAATCTTAATTTCTTCTCTATACACATGGAAAACTTCTCCTTTTATCAAGTCTCTGGCTCCAGTTACTTGAGCTCTAGCCTTGCTGATTCTGTCTTCTTTTGCCTTTCATACACCTTCTGACTAAAGGAAGAAATTCAGTGTTGGGACATCTGTGATGGATGAGCAGGGGAGGTTCCCTCTCCTCCCCGGACATGAAACAGGGAAAAAAGGAGGATGAAGACAGAGCAAATGAAGCTTCCTGTCTAAAACTTAAGATGAAGGGTTTGTTTTTCCCAATCTTCCATCCACAGTCCTTTAGCAAAAATGATTAGCCATTTCAGTGAAAATGGAAAAGCACTAAAAATCGTGCACTAGAGGGAATCTTCTTTCATCCCTATTGTCTGGAGAGAGACCAGGCAGAGAGACCTGATCCCTTACTAGAAGGGAGAAATACAGATGCTGACTTGGCTAATCAGCATGACCGGTAGTATCTATATCTGTCCAAAAACTAAAATTGGACTCTGATCTGATAAACTTCCATGTGGAGTTTGTGATGTGTTGCTGTGGAACAGATTTGCCTAGCTATGTCTTTTGGAGACAAAACTTGTTCCTATCCGTTTTCTTTGAGCAACTGTGGTTCCTCCATACATGTCAGTCACGTGTCTTGGCATCGTGCTGCACAGATTTGGGAGAAAAGAAGTTGGTCCTTCAGGATGTTCTATTCCAAAGTTGTTGCTGTAAGGGGAAAGTAAGTAGTTTGAGCTACATTGGAAACTCAGTAGTCTGGAGATGATGTCTGTTTAGGTGAGGTGGTGGTTTCTACCATTAGTAATATTTTTAAGGAGGCATTAATAATTCTGGAAGAACTTTGGTTTTTGGAGGAATTTTGTTTTTTGGAGGCTATTGTGTCTTTCTGCTTATCTCTAGGTTGTGGGGAATGTGAGACTACACAACGGAAAGCGTTACTGCGTTCTGGGGTATGTTCTTTGGAGGAGGACTAATTGAGTCTTCCTGGATGCCTCTAATAACCCTTTCTGGATTCCATTTGTACAGTTTAGGGTTGTGTTGGTCAATCTTCAAGACGCTTTGTTTTTCCTAACAGGCTTAGAATTCTTATTTTGCCAGATTTCCTGTAAAACTAGGATACCACTAGTAGACCGTAGTAGCCCTTGCGTACACGAAGGGCAGCTCAGGTGCTTGTGCAAGAATGTGCTGACAAAATGATTGTCTAAGGTGTTTGTGTGGAAGGGTTCTACTTCATACAGAAAACGTCGAAGTAGCAGACTTCCACATACTTCTAGTCTGCTGAAACAGATTTTGGGGGAGATTTTTTTGTTGGTGGTGTGTTTTTTTTTTTTGAGCTAAGTAGTGAGATTTCAGGATTTGTCCTAATTAGATAGAACTTGAGGTGCAGAACTTTTTTTTCTTTTGCTGAAGTGTCATAATTTTTACCTGCCGTATTATTAAAAAAAAAAATGGTCTAAGAAGGCATGGGACATTATTTCTGCTAGACTTACCAGTGTGCAGGTACTGGAGTGGTTTCGTAGTGGTATGCTACGATGCTTGTTTGTGTAAGAAGTAAAAACATCGTTACTACGGAATAGTAAATTAATTCAGCACTCGGATCGCTTGCAGGGTGTTCTCACTGCACCTCTCTCTTGGTTATCATCAGGAGATGAATCTTCTAGTACTGCTCATAGATGACATCATCATGGCTGTATGAAATGACAAAAAAAAAAAATAGCTGCAGAGATTTTTGGTACAGTTCCTCACACCATGTCTGTGACACGTGTGTGGGAGATGCAGCTGGGCTGGGTGCTGGGGTGGTGCAGCAGCTCCTTCCCTTTGGGTGGTGGTTCCGAAGGGGTGGAAGTCAGTAAGGTGGAGAACACCTCTGAGGGAACAGACTGGATGGCTGAGAGTGCAGATTTATCACCTGGATGTTGCTGGGACTGATACTGTAGTTTTTTGGTAGGAGCCCAGGGTTAACTTCCTTGGAATTTGATGAGGAAAAATAGCTGACAGGGCTACCAGTTTTTCGGAAAGAGCAAGTAACGTTCATACAGGTGTGAAAAGTAATGCTGTCAAGTGACATGTAATTGAGGGAGCAAACCACTGTTTAATGGAAGATAGTTAGGTTTATTGTTATCCGGTTAAAATATTTTTCAGAGAAGAACCTATATGTTCTATCATGAGTGTGCTAGAGGAAATTCCTTAAAGAGATGACTGATGAGATGTCCGCTGTGTTGAGGTAATACAAAGAGGTCATTGTTACTTTATCATAAAGGGTTTTTTACTCCTTCGTCTTTCTGTTGTTAACCTGGCTCCTAAAGAATGTCTTTTCTGGCTTTGCTGGGAGAGGTACTTTAGGAGAACTTTCAGTGAAGGGTAGAGTATTGAAATACACAAAAAACCTCTCCCGCCTCTTCTCTCTTTTTCTCCAGTAGATAGAAGGTTGCCCTGAACTGAGTGAGGCTTTAAAAGTGTCATACTAACAAGACTGCTGTTCCTAATTGCTAAGGCTTCACCTCCTGTGTATGGTGGCATACAAATTCTTCTTAGCATGATTCCCATCTTTAAAAAAGGGTTTCAGAATTAATTCTTGTGAACTGTGAGAAATTAACTCACTTATGGCTTCTTAATAAATCAGAAAGAAACAAAAAGGGCACAGATGTTTCTCCCTTTGTCATCTTTAAGTCTGCTTTTCAAAAACAGATCTCCATGAAACTGTGAGAAGATACATGCTATGCGTCCAGTGAAGGCATTTTTGACAGGTGATGATGCAGACTTACTTTCAAGCAGATAAGAGGGATTTAGGAACTGGCACTTTCTAAGTGGATGTTTTTGTTTCATTTGCAGAGATACAGAACAAAGCCGTACTGCTGTAGCTTATGCAAGTTCTCGTCAAAGTTGCTTACTTCCTTCAAGAACCACTTGCACCGTTACCATGAGGATGAGATGGACCAAGAGCTGGTGGTTCCTTGCCCAAAATGTGCATTTGCTTCTGATCCCAAAATAGTGGGAAAACATATCCGGATGTTTCATTCGTCTAATAAAAGAGTACAGAACTATACGGTCAGCATTTTGGATGGCATGAAACAATTCAGGAGTGACATCATAAACTTTACATGTCTAAAATGTCAATATACAGACACGTTGTATTACAATATGAAGAAACATGTGCTGATGAACCATTTTCAAAATTTAATAAGTACGTATTTTGGCCAGAAATCTGACGAAAGTAAAGAGAATTTTATTGAGCACTACTGTAAAAAATGTAATGCTTCTGCAAACAGCCAAGATTCTTTAATGTATCACGTCTTGACAGCTGAAACACACCGAGACCTGGAGAACAAACTTCGGTCTGTGATTTCAGAACATATTAGGAAGCCAGGACTCGTGAAACAAATGCATATTGCTCCGAAGCCTCCCCAGAGCGTGGCGGTGGCTGCTCCATCTAAGGCCCCCGTGGGTTCTGCCGCAGCTCCGGCTTGCATCCAGCTTGCGTTTCCACAGAACAATCAAAACCAGAGTGTGGTGCAGGCAAAAGCAGTTCAGAACACAGCCACGTCGCTGACTGTTCCAAGTGCCTCTGGTAGCGTTCCACACACAACTGCAGCTCCGGTCGTTACCCCGTCGCACGTTACTCTCGTATCTAATAATCTTCCTGTAGGTCAGAGTAACGTTAATATTCAGCCTTCACCTTCCCAGCCCATCTTTGTTTCCCATGGGCTCCCCCTTAATCAGCCCGTGAGGGCTGGAGCTATTCCTCTTAATAACTCTGTTGGGACCATAAATAGAACTGTGGCCCCCACAGTTCTTCCTCTTAATCCACCTGTCAGGCCTGGGCTCTTTCCTATCAATCAACCCTTGGGTGCTATAAATAGTCAAGTTGCAGCTGGAACGCTCCCTGTTACCCAACCTGTCAGCCCCATCAACCAGCCGGCTGCACCAGGCGTCCTCTCCGTCAACCAGCCGGTGGCACCAGGCGTCCTCTCCGTCAACCAGCCGGTGGCACCAGGCGCCCTCTCC